GGCGTTTGACGAGCGTTTAGCGGAGCGTGCGCACTGGCTCGGTTTGGAAATGGATGTGGAAGTGATTGTTTGTGTGTGGCTCCTCTATCGTCGCTATAAAAGACGACGGCGGAGGCAAAGAGAATTTTGGGTGCACCCAATACTACGAGATAGACTGACCCATGGAATGTTTGTGACGTTGTATCCAAAACTACGACAATATGAACCCAAGTTTTTTAATTATTTCAGAATGTCTATAAAATCATTTGACGACTTACTCCATATTATAAAAGTAGATATTACTGGTGAATCAACAATTTTAAGAAACTCAATTTCTCCAGAAGAAAAACTTGTTATAACGTTAAGGCAAGTACATTAATTAATTAATTTATTATTTATTAATTTAATACAATTTATTTATTCGAATAAATATATGTTTTCTGAATGTTGGCTGGAAGGTGATGGTGACCATGATGACGGGGGTGGCGGAGACGTTGTAGACCACTGCTGTGAAGACGCTGATGGTGTTGGGGGTCTAGCTGTGGTATATCCAGAATAAGTTGGTGTAGAATATGCGTATTGGTATTGATTTGTTTGTAGTGGCAATGACTGATGATAGTTCTGTGCTCTTTGAATGACATTGAGCAATTCAATTTTAGTCGTAAGGCGTCGATTCTCGGATACTTTTTTTAATTCACTGTACAATGATAAGCAGAATAATTTATCATCATCTTCTTTTGTTAGATGGCCTGTTTCATTTTGTTCTTTCGCGTTCAAACTTTTTTGTAAAATGTCAACGATTTGTTGTTCCACAACATTTATTTTTTGTTTTTTCCTTGACCCCCCGTTTTGGTGTGAAGGAGGTGGCATCAAGTCTTCATTATCTGCATCGGTATTTGTTGTTTCAGAAGATTGGTTTTCATAATTGCTTTCTGTATCATTATTTGCTATAGAACTGTCAAGAAATTGTAGTTTTCTGTAATACACATATGTCATATGTTTGGAAGATCCAGATCCAGACGGAAGCTTTTTTCGTTTTTTACACTCTCTCGTGTAATTGTCCCAAATGCTTTTCCACTTTTTCATTAGTGTAGTCCCTGAAAATAAAAAATAATAATTTTAATTTTTACAGGTACTTGGCAACTGGCTGCTCGTTCGCAGATTTGCATTATGGATACCATCTTGGAAAATCGACTATTATAAAGATAATTGAACACGTTTGTAAAGTGCTATGGGGCAAATTAAAATCCATATCCATGCCTGAAATGACAACAGAGAAATGGAAAGAAGTTGAAGAAGGTTTTAAGAAGTATGCCAACTTTCCAAATTGTATCGGCGCAATTGATGGAAAGCATATTGAGATAATACAACCAAAACATACAGGCTCGCTTTATTTCAATTACAAGAACTATTTTTCTTCTGTCTTACTAGCAATTTGTGATGCAAATTACTGTTTTGTATACGTTGATATCGGATCTTACGGCAAAAGCAGTGATTCTGCTATTTTTCAACATTCACATTTTTATAAAAGAATGATGGATAACAAGTTAAATATTCCTAAACCGAAACCCATTTCGAATGTCGATAAAACACCATTACCTCACGTGTTCGTAGGTTATGAAGCCTTTGGAATCATGTCAAATGTAATGCGCCCGTACGGTGGAAAACAACTTACACACACCAAAAAAATATTCAATTACAGATTATCGAGAGCAAGGCGCTATATCGAATGCACTTTCGGAATACTGAGTAACAAATGGCGAATATTTCACAGACCTACTGATGTAAATATCGAGTTCGCGGAAAATATTATGAAAGCTTGCACAGTATTGCACAATTACGTTCGAGTACGTGATGGTTATAGATATGAAGACACACTTTATAATTCGCCGTTACAATCTATAAATTTAGAAAATATACCACGAAGCAGCTTGTGTGCTAGAACTGCAAGAGAAAAATTTGCCAACTATTTTGTAAACGAGGGAAAACTACATTGGCAAGACAACATGATTTAAGTATTAATACGGCATAATTATTGTAAACATTTTAACAAATAATAAAATTACTCACCTAACAGTTTTTTTTTCTCCAAATTATCTTCAGAATTACAAAAAAATTCCACCATTTCCTCCCAATTTCGTTTCTTCATTACCTTATTTTTGTAATCGGGACTCTCCATGTCCCAAATGGCTGGTCTCTTTTCGATTTCATCAATAAATAAATCTGTATCAAAATGGTCGTCCTCCATTTCGGCCAACGTCCCAAAAGTGCGCGATCGAATGTACAGCAAAATGGCGGCGTAAATCTCAAAGCGCCGGTAAAGCGCGCGATCGCATGTACGGTAACATGGCAGCACATATATCTCAAAGTGCCCGTAAAGCGCTAGCAAAACGCGCGTTTTAACAAAAATCTATAAACACGCGTTTAATGCGCACTTGGCGTTTGAGTGTGTACGCCTACATAGAACTCTTGGTTCTTTTAAACGCGCGTTGAAAAACGCCTAGTGTGTACAGGCTCTTAGAGTGCGGGAGATATGAGGCTGAAAGTGGTTGAAAGTGGCTTTCAATTTCGAATTTGTTCAAATTAAATTCGAACATAAAATTCGAATATTGGTTCGATTATAGAACGATTGTAAACGTTCCAGAAACGTTGAAAATAGTTTGTTTGACTAAACGTAAAAATTCTTTAATTAGTCTGAAAACGGTGGACCTAATTCTTGCATTCTGTGAAAACTGGTAAGATTAGCTATAATGTAATTATCTTAATCTTCACTATCGTTACTTTTTGCCCAGCAAAGCGGGTCCTTGCAGCTAGATTCTAGATTACTTAGAAAAACAGTCTTTTATATATATATAAAAAAAACTATATTACATACAAATGTACGAACAAATAAAAACCCAGCGAAGCGGGTCCTTGCAGCTAGTATATATATATACTTAAATTAATTTGATACTCTTTTCATTCAGATGATGCGTGTTTTAGGTCACATTGATGTAATTCTGTTAAGATGACAATGGTCTAATTGGTGTCGTGTCTAATTTCCTAATTATCAAAATCTAAGAAAGGACGTTAAATTTATGTATAGTAAGTGCAGTGTTCGTAGCAAAGAACACACAAATGCAATGTCAGTGTCATCAGTAATTTCTTACATTTTCTGGAGGAAACATGTGGATTTGAGAATTTGCAATAAATATACATTTACTTGCTGCTTTGAACACAATAAAGTGCAATAAATTATGACACTTGGCAATTTTTTCATCTTTTATTTAGTTGAATTTATCATCTAAATAAAAGATGAGAAAACTGCCAAATGTCTTAATTTATTGCAGTTTATTGTGTTAGAAGCAGCAACAAAGTTTAAAGCACTGTTTCAGATCATTAAAAAAAAATACACTTACTTGTTAAACATGATTATCTTTTGCGTAACAGTTGCAGATTATCCTATAGAGTTTCCAAATGGTATCGGTACATGTATATAAAACGTGGATAAATTCTATGTTTATAAGTCATGTAGAGGATACAAATGCAGCTCTGAATCAGACACTTTGAACTTTATCAGAGTTACAGACTATGCCCATAGGAGTAAAAAAGTCAAACGAATTGATGGTATATGTGTAATTCATCGTGAGATATAGACTCCTGAAATTGACCAGTGCTCACAGGATAGAGAGGCAAAAATGAAAAAAAAAAAAAAAACGTACTCAATTACAGTCTAAGACATTCCCCATGAAAAATTCCTGAGGTTTCTTGCTTAGATTCAATCCTGCTTTCTCCAGAGCAGCTAATCTTGACCATCCAGCTATTGTTTCAAGTTAGTTAGAATTTAGTCTCCTCCATACAGCCTGTATGTAGGAGACAACTGTAGTATTGTAAAAAGTCATTGACAGCCAGATAGTCAATACAGTAAAGATTTCAGTCTATTGTGCTGGCAGTTCAAGTTCAGTCCAGTTTAGGGACTTTGGGGACTTTTTTGTGAATATGTCAGCTCCTGCTGGCATATCCAGACAGGCCTGTCTGAGTCTATGATGGGTACGATTAAGGTGCTTGTAATGTCTTTAGAGCAGAAAGAGTCAAACGTGTATAAAGCAATCAATTTTTTTAGCATTTTTCTGGAAAGAATATTAAAACTATGCATTTCTTTGTGGTATGCAGATCTTTCCCTACGGTATCCCTGCTGTATCGCTACGTTTCGTATATAATCCAATTCCTTGTAAGTGTTGCAGATGCTGGTGCAATGTGTTAAAAACTCATTATCCATTATCGTTCATGGATAATGAGGGCACACACGCATTGCACCAGCATATGCAGATCTTGCACTTCATATGAGTTTCTGTAGAATATATATTTACCTGTAGAACAGATACAAATTATATGCAGTAGACATTCCACTTTTATCGTATTGTTTCATGAGTGGTACAAATTTTGTATTATGATTGTATGATGTGCCATATTTAAGTACTGTACTACTGTATTTTTTTTAGCAAATCTTGGTAATAGAATAGTGAGTGTAAGGCCAAGGTCATCCTAGTTAAAAGTGCCAGTTAATCAAATACAACATCATTAATGTTATTTTATATATTAAACCAATAATAATACATATAGTTCAGGAAAAATCAAGACTTGACATTTTATTTTTGTCATACATGAAGGAGCTTTTATTTTTTCTATGTGCAAAATTTTATCACTCCATTTTTGTATTTTGGTATGAAATTATGGAATTTAAATTGTATTTTTTTTATACTATGAGTCTATAGATAATTTCATTTTGATTCATAATGGCATACTTAATAAGGTTTATCAAGAATAGATTTTTTTTTATAAAAGTGGATATTATTATACAGTAAGTACTAAAACTCTATTTTATTGTTATCTAAATCAAAAGGAGTTAATTGCAATGGTACATTAATTTTCTGAATTTTATATATTTTTAAACTAGACAATTTATTATCAAAACTTAACTAAAAATTGAAGTTTTAATAATTAGAGATCTTCAGTTATCTTCAGAATCTTAGTTTTCTAATTCTGTAAATCCTCAATTAACCAAAAAAAAAATCACTAAAATATTTTTTAAATGTCTTTTTCAATATTCCAGGATTTCCAGCTAATTGCTTCTTAAATAGATAAAGACAAAATAAAACAATTTTCAACATTAAGGTTAAATTCATACCAGATGTACTCAGAGAGGGAGATTACAATCTTACTACACACCTGATCATTTGCTGAGAGAATTCTTTATTAACAAACATTTTCAGCCTACTGTCATAAGCCATCATCGGGTTTTAAAATAAGGTTAAGAAAATGTTCCACAGATAGAACACTCCGTTAAAATTTCTTACAATTCGAATTATTCTAAATACAAATTTAAAGTTACACATATTAAATAAATAAATTATAAAAAAATATAAGATTAACAACAACATTCACAAGATGCATAATCAAACTTTGAGCATGCTCATAATGAATTTCAATTTAAATAATATTTGTTCCATTTGCATTAGAATGTGTTCTATTTTAAATTTTGTTTGCCTGAAGATGATGAATGTAAGTTTGTTGAAAGTGTTAGTGAAAAAAAAACTGTTAACACTGTACTCAGTGTGTTTTTTACTTTCATTTTATGTGATATTTGGCATGAGGTTCAAGCTGTATTGTGTTAATAATATAAAAAAATTTGTAAATGAAATCTCATAATAGATAGTACCACACACAGTTTTAAAGTTTGGCCAGAAATGTTATGCAACTCATTGCAGGATTTTTATTTTTGTTCTTTCCACTCTGTAGGCTCTTAAGAGGTTTGGCCAGACGTATGATGAGGGTAAGGGACAGAGCCTTACAAATGGTCCATGAAAAATTCCTGGAGAGTTGCTTACCCAGATGTGATCCCAGATTCCCCTGTGTAGTAAACAAAAACCTTTATTGCCTTGGCCATTTAGCCATCAACTATAAGATACCTTTATCATATCTAAAAATCACATCTACATTGCTATAGGAAAGAAAAAACAAACTCTCAGTTTTATGCTTAACATACATGTTTGGAAACATTTGATTTCTTTTACAGTCATAAAATTCCATTTGTTTTTTTTGTCACTTTTGCTTTTTCCTGAATTAATATCCTTTTGTAATCACCGTTTCCAAATAAAAAATATGTAAGATTCTACAAATTTAAAAAATAAAGAAAAATATTTTAAAATATTTCAATTCTTAAAAGAACTTCAATCAACTAATTGAAGTTTAATTTAAAAATTGGAAGTTTATGGAAATATCTTCTCCCAAAATTCAGAATTCCAAAATGCAGGAAGATTTGCTCATTTTGATAATACAGGGTGTCTGAAAAATTACTGTGTAGTGAGAAATTTGTAATGACATTAAAGTTATATGTATGGCATTGCATACAAGATCCATAAGTTGTATATCCAATGTTTTGGGCAGTTGTACAGTCATTGCTTGCTCATAGGTATTCTGGTTTTTGGAAGACTTATTTGCTGATTGCATAATCTCTGGCGAAATACAGCCTGCTAAGCCTCTGGATCTCATCTTTCTGGATTTTGGAGCCTCTGGGAGACATTTACAGCATTTTCTGTAGGAAAACTGCAATATCATATGCAAAATTTAATGTTTATGAAAACATTATTTAAACCTTTTCCACTTCACAGTAACTTTTTGGACACACTGTACAATATTTTTAAATTTGTATAATAAAATTGAAATATTGTTAGATTAAAAGTGATCATATCAGAGATTCAAAATTAGCAAAATTTGTATAAATCATAATGAAATGATTTTCATGTAATATTTGAACAATAAATTATTTTATAAATTAATTATTTGATTTTATAGTATAGAAACATTTAATTTTATTTAATTCAATATTTATATAACTTAAATTGTTTTTTTTTTTGTTTTTCAGGTTGCATATTTGTTTGGCTAATTGAATAAAGATGGTTCCTCCTCGATTTTATCCTTACAGAAGTAAGTGTTTATGTTGAATAGTAATATTCTGTATGAAATATTGCATTCAATGAACATAGTTTTTATTGGTGGAGAGGAAATTAAAGAGATGCAATATTTTCTGTATCTCTTCTATTATTTTTTGGTATGTTCTACACAGTGATGACAAACCTATGGCAACGATTTCAATTATACTAATAGTTGTCAATCCATATGGTACAGAAATAACATATCCTCCCAATATTATTCTCCAGAAAATTGTCCTCCACCGAACATATTTTTATTTTATATCATACTAAAAAAATTAAAAATAACAAGTACTGTACACAACAAATACCTTATTTTGTATATCTGTACAAAACTCAACAATGAGAGATTTTTTTTTATTCATTGCTGGCCCATCTTCCCAATAATTACACAGATCAACCCTGATACAAGGTATTTGCATCGAATGTTTAGAACGTATTTGCTTTTTACAAATTATAAAAAAATTTGAGAGTTCAAAACTTTGCATATGTAGTGTGAAAGCAGGGTCCTAAAATTGTCACGAAAAGTCTTAAAGGCCACTAATTATGAACCTCAAATGAAAAAGTTATCATCAGATTTCTCATTGAACAAAATATTTATTTCAGGTGAATTGTGGCGTGTAAATATTGAGGATGTGCTGCATCAAAACTCAAAAGGGTTCCACTCGTGCCATAGATGCTTTGAAATAGGACATAATAAACGACAATGCACTGAACCTAAGGTAAATGTTGATATTACTATTGTGTTTAAAATGAATATTTGTTTTTATTGCATTTTAACTCTAGAATAAATTATTTTACAATCAGTTACCAGTACCAGATCATTTGAATTATCAAGAACTCAAATTATTCATTTCTATTAACTTTCTGACTTATGTAGCAGATACAATTCACCAGTTTTTTGGAGATTAACATAAAAAATTTTATTAAAATCTAATTGTAAACATGAGTTTACAATATGTGGCATTAAAATTTATATTACACTTTTGTCACATAGTTTTTATATTTCTGAGAGTAAGCTGGAAAGCTAGAAAGTAATTTTAGTGGAATTTTTTATCTTGATCTGTAGTAGAGCAGAGAACTATACTTCCATTTTTGAAAATTTAAAAACTTATAGAAAGCTATTTTAATGTTAATTAGTAAAGTATTTCAATTCTTTGCAATACACATTTTTTTCTTACTTCTTTTCTGCTCTTCTAATCACTTCAGTCTTTAAAATTCTATATATTCTACACTTTGTAATTGTAAGAATATAGTTAGTGACACTATTATCTAGACATCACCAAAACTGAATCTTTGTGACAGACTGTCTAAGTTTCAGGAGTTTGCAGAACACATGCATTTTATAAATAAACATGAATTATATAAATCATTTCATTACATGCTGTTTTTCCTTCTTATTTTTGAAATATGATGTAAGTTTTAAATTAACTGCATTTCTTAATATCAAAGAGAATAAGTGCAGATTTAATTTATTCAATAATTTGAATTGATCAGATTGTATTTAAAAATTTTGTTAAGTGAAAGAACATAACATAAATCATTATGAATTTTGCCTTCATATAGCCAGTTCATTATGAAAATTCATACACAGAAAATATAGCCAACAGGTTTTTTGTTTTTTGGGACTTTCTTCCCCATAGATGCTAAGACAGTCTTTCTTTCAAACCCACTGTGGGTTCAACCAAGTCCACAATAGGACAGTTGGGTGAGGGATGGGGCCCAACATACTCAAGATGAACTACTCTAATAATTTTCTGGTGATTTTTGACTTCTAAGATTACATCCTTTGCCATCCAGCGAGATATACTTTCTATTTAAAGCAGGGATGTCCAGCCTGCAGGATGCATGTGGCCCAATAGACATGTAAACAAAACCAACAAATTTTTTATTATTTTTTTTATTTATTTCAATGGCATAAACCTTAAAAAAGAAGTTTCACAAAGCCTTAAACCTTTGTACATATCTTATTTTTTAATAGAAAGGAAATATTTTCAAATACTTGAAATATGTGAATGAGGAAGGAATACTAAATAAAGCTGGAGTCGTGACTCAAAGAATTATAGTCCCAAATTTGAGGAAAGAAGAGAAAGGCCAAAAAATAATAAGAAGTGAGAAAGGTTGGAAAATTAAGAATCAATATTTGCATAACAGAAGGTCTACTTAACCTTTCTCACTTCTTTATATTTTGACCTTTCTCTCCCAGAATTTGGGTCTATAATCCATTGAATCCCAACTCTAGCTTTGTTTAATTTTCCTTTCAGTATTGCAAGATTTGCTACTTTGCACCAAATTTGGCTACCCTTTTTTTAGTTTGGCGTAAAAAATATCATTTGGCGCATTAGCTACATTTTGGGCTACATATTATAAATATATTAGTTGAATAAAAATGCCCTTTAAAATGGTGTTTTATTGTTTTTTTTTATTAATTAAAGACCCAAATAAAATAAATATTCGTGTTTTTCAAATAAATTTTTGTTTGTCTCATTTATAATAAATAAATTTATCTATTTCTAACAAGGGAACTGTCGGAGTGTCTTCTAATAAATTTTAATAAAATTTAGTTAATAACTACATTAAAATTATACAAACTCTATTTTAAATTTGTAGCATTCACTAAAAGTGTTGATCAGAGTTATTAGAAATCAAATGTTGCACTACTTTATAGTAGTTTAGCACAATTACGCAAATTTTTAGAAGTGAAAGGGTCGCGGAGGAAGACGGCGATATTACATTTAGAATAAATTCTGGAATTTTCAAAAATGGTTGAAGAATTAATAAAATTTTGTATACTTTTAACATAATTATTAACTAAATTTTATTAATTCTTCTCCCATTTTTGAAAATTCCAGAATTTATTCTAAATGTAATATCGCCGTTTTCCTCCGCGACCCTTTCACTTCTTAAAATTTGCATAATTGTGTTAAACTAGTATAAAGTAATTCAGCATTTGATTGCTAATAACTCTGATCAACACTTTTAGTGAATACAACAAATTTAAAATAGAGTTTGTATACTTTTAACGTAGTTATTAACTAAATTTTATTAAAATTTATTAGAAGACACTCCGGCAGTTTCCTTGTAAGTAGAAATTAAAAGTGTCTGTAGAAGTAATTTTTTAAAATATCCTTTTTTGTGATAAAGTTTTAATACTTATTAGTATAATCTAGGCATGTAATTACTTAAATATACTTGTATATTTAAGGATTGGGCCACAATATACTTGTGGTCCAGAACTCCATGACTTCTTCCAATGTGGTCCAGAGAAACAAAAAGGTTGGACACCTCTGATTTAAAGGATGACTATTAGATACTGGTTAATATCACATCAGGAATATCTAACTCAATAAATTGAAGGCTTTCTTTTTCAAAACTGCATTGTATATCTACATCAGTTCAAGATAGCAGCATTGTATGCTATTAGATTTTCAATGGAGAATCCTATTTAAATGGACCTCCACATCTGGTCCACAGCATATGATGATAGAATGGTTGAATAGAGGCTCTTTGATATGTCCAATTGGTGTTCTTTTAAGTAGGAGGTGATTTGTCTGCTAATGGGTCACATGTACTCCAACTTCTTGATTCTGTGATCCATGGGAGGGATGGAGTATAATCCTGGAAATTGTTGCTAGATTTGTGAATCTTTGCAATTTTTGAGGAGTGAAAATACATTGGGGCTTCTTTTGAAGGCCAGGTTGATGTTATGATGTTATTGTTTTGGGCTATCTCTTTGAATAGAGGGGCAAGAATTGCATTGTATGTGACTACCTTGTATATTTCTGAATGGGAAGGATTGCAATTACTGCTATGTTCATGCATACCAAGATGTTTGATAAGCCCTTTAATGATCCATAGATGATCCATCTCCAGAAAATCCATAGCAGATCACCCATGTGTTGCACTGCTGTAATGAAATAATCTAAACCTAGAGAATCCAAGTTGGACAGCCTGGCTGGTGATAGTATGAAATTCCTGTATCCTTTCTCATGGTTCAGAAGTTTTTTAAGTTATTGAGTTAGGTCTTTATATTTAAGTGTTTTGATTTCTAATCTGCAATGTTTGTATGTTGTCTAAGATTTTGTGCTTAGTAAATGTTTTCTATTAAAAGCTGAAAATCTCATCTACCTCAGTTTGCAGGCTTAGGATCATTAACAAATGCTAAGTATGGAAAGCATATGAAAATTAAATTACAAGGAAAACATTATATAGGGAATGGTCACAAACCATATAGTCTGACGGCCGGATGGCCGAGTGGTCAAGGTGGCAGCCCACCACTCTGGGGGACCTGGGATCGAATCTGGACGGGTCAAAGAAACCCCAGGAATTTTTTGGGTGGTCCGTTCAGATATATTGGGCCCCCATTCCTCACCACTCAGTCGCCCTGTTGTGGGCCTGGCCAAACCCATAATGGGCCTGCTTTAAGAGGACCTCTTAGTGCCCACAGGGCGGAAAGAGTAAAAAAAAAAAAACCACATAGTCCAACATTTTGCAAATTTTAATATCTCCTGTCTTGGTGACTCTTTATGGCCCAAGTGATCCCTACCTATAAAATTATATACTCTAAGGAAGCTGGATTCCCAAAAACCTTTATTTATTTTATTCTTAAATTTAAACATCATTAGGAGAATAGTAAAAGCTTCTTTGCATCTCCTCCTGAACAAAAATAAAAACACACAATAAAACAAAGCTACATAGATCAGTTACAAAATTTTGGAACTATTCTTTGCACAGTAATGAGAAGTCACTTATATAATAAAGCTGCTATGTAAAACTATTTTCTTTCCCAACATTCTGAAATGTTGCATCAGATGGCAGCTCTATCTTACTAGTATCAATATTCTCATAATCTTCCTATTCATGTGTCTTTCATTCTTTGAATTTAAGAAGTTTCTAAAGTTTATTTTATTGTAATAATGAATTAAATAAAATAATTATAACTGTGCAAGTATATAGACTTGTTCTGCTATTGTGCTATTGGTTTTCAATAAATGTTACAAATTCATTGTTCCTTCCACTCAATGTTGTTTCTGCTAATAGTTTCTCTGATACTGTAATCATCCACATACATAATGCCATATCTATAAACAAACTTTCAATGGTTAATAGGCTATATTTCAACTCATGACAAGTTTTTTTAAGATGAGGCTGTACTATCTGATCAAATCTAGACTTCCTCTCCTGTTGCAGTGGTTCATGGTAGTCACTGACTTGCCCCCTACTCCTTCAACTGGGATATGTTGTTTATGGACATTCTCATAATAAGTGTTTGGAAAGTAGTAGTCTTGCAATGAATTGCATTTAATAACAAAGTAATGCAAATTTCTTTAAAGTAAGAACAAATAGAGTAAAATGTCCCTTCTTTTTAAAATATAATTAATATATTGATTTAGAATGCAGATAGGATAGAATTGAAATAAAATCATTTCTCTAATGAGTTGTTTAATATCATTAGTCATTAGTAATTTATTATGTAGATAAGAGATTAATTTTATTTGTAAACATTAAAAATGCATAGATAACATCAGACATCATTGATGGAACAAAAATTGTTTTGAACACAGCATAATAAGAAGCCTATTCAATATAATAAACATTGTTTTTAAATAATTGTTTTTTGAGGAAAATGTTTGTTGTGATTTTCTCATTCAGTTATTGAATGGTCTGGTAGCAGTCAGACTACAAGAGTGACTGACTAAATGGCCAATGAATGAAGCTATTATATCCCCCTGATTATTTTTTTACCAGGTTGTAATATAGTTAACAATCAGTAGATTTTGTTTCTGAAAGCTTTACTTTGTCTGCTGAGATAGATGTAGTTCTTTCTGAAAGTTTTGTTTGCCTGATAGGAGAAGAGAAACAGCTTCTGCTATTCATATTTTACATTGTTTACTAATAATAATTTCATAAAATTTGTAAAATAAAAACAACTTTTGAAATAATCAATTTTATGTAGGTTTTTGACCTTTGTAATACAATTACTATAACATTTGGTACTTTTATTATTACAAAATAACTATATTTATAACATACATTAATATGACATCTAGTTAGTTAAAAATAAAGAACTTAAAAGTCTTTGAAGCTTCCTGCTCATTGTCTGTGTCAGTTCATATGTATTCTGGATTCATCGCCATGCAATTACTTTGAATTTAAGTGTTTTCCACTTTTAAAAAGAGATTTTCAGGAAAAATGGATGAAAATTAGAAGTAAATATTGTTTAAAAGAAATTAGTAAGGAATAAAAACACTGTTTAAAAATTGTTTAAAATACTAAAAAATTTGCATTATATGCAGGCTTTTAAAGAATATCTTGAATTTAAAAACATAAAATCAAATTTATAACTTACTCTAATATTAAGTTCGGAAGCATGTATTAAAAGTGCTCTTAAATTTGTGTTAATATACAATTAAATTTTATGAGTACCTTTCTAAATAAGGCTACACTCATAAAGTAACAAAGAATAGTTATGAATGGATTTTCCTTCTAAATATATGCAAATTAGTTAGTATATGATTTTACACAGCAAATCAAATTATCTTCACCAAATTGTGTGTGAGAAACTCTCAAACTCAAACTAGAACTTCATTACCTGATTCCCACATGAGAGAAACATGTTAATAGAGGAACAGTATGGTCAGTCAAAAAATGACCCCCCAAGATTTTTACATTTTTGGACTTATGATGTTGAAATGTTGAAAAATGCAAAGAAATTCAGAGGTTTTTTCTGTATGTATGGATGTTTGTGTGATTGGATAGGTGGCACGATTTTGTTCATTCTCTTAATAACTCTTGTGCTTTTTGTTGAAAATTTCTGAAGGGAGGTTTGTATATTAGGGGGATTGAAGCTATTAAAGTTTGGTGGTTAAAGGTTGAAGGGTGGTGAGATAAAGGAGATTGTGTCATATCTCAAGAAGGATTGGACTTAAAGAAGATTTTGCTTGTTCACATTTCACATTTACACAAAATATTCACATTTACAATTTTTTATAAAACCTGCTCCTACCCCAAAATTATGTTTTTTACCATTTTATAATAATTAAAAATATAAAATGTTTTTTTAATAAGATATCATAACAGATGGTGCCACCAAATCTTGCCAGGAAAGCAACTTGTTGCTAGATTTTCATTATTTGAGGTTCTTTAGTGTAGTGCCAATTTCAAAAGCAAACAAAATGAGAGTGCTAATTAAAGTTCTGTAATGTAGAAATGCTTTATTACTTTAAATTTAAGACATAAATTTGAATATCAGCTGAAAACAAAATAGTTTTTCTAAATATAAGTTATATACATAATTAGAAATAATAATGTATTTTTATGTGGATTGCTTGTGGACAATCCCCACAAAAATCTGTGTTTAAAAGACAATTTGAAAGAGGATATAAGTTATGTGATGAGTGGGTTATATGCTGATTTGCTAATTGTAATTACAAATTTGTGCCTAAAGAGCATTGGCTGCTCCCATAGATGCAGAATATAAGATAGTATTTATATCTATAGTACTATATAAAGAGACAAATATTTTTCGTTTGTGACTACTAACCGTGAAAACTACTGAACCAATCATTACCAAATTTTAACTGTTGCATCTTTATGACCCCCGGAATGTTTACCACTAATCAAACCTGCAGATTTTTTGTTAAACATTCATATAAATTAAAAGATATCATCTAGGGTTAAGGCTTTTATGTCCAACAGATGGCGCTACGAGTATGACGCTCTAAGTTTGCTTTTCTGTGAGGATGAACTAAAGCAGATCATCTTCTATCTATCTATATAAATAAAAATGTAATGTTCGTTTGTTCCTACCAATTCCTTTGAAATTTTCACACAATTCGAATACGCACGTGTTTTTATATAATATACATATCGAAATTCCCCCCACCGGGGGGGAGATGAACAGGATTAAGGCTTACCGTAAAGAACTCTGCTTCTATTTCTACTATTTTAGATGCGGTTTTTTGCGTTTTTGATTGTGTTTTAATAGGGTATGTCAACAGAATATACACTAAAAAGGGATTTTTCAATATTCCCCCCGTGGGGGAGAGGGACAGGATTAAGGCTTACCTTGAAGAACTAGGCTTTTATTATACTATTTTAGATGTGGGTTTTTGCGTTTTTGATTGCGTTTTAATAGGGTATGCCAAGAGAATGTACATTAACAAGAAATTTTTCGAAAAATTCCCCCCCCCCACATGGGGGAAGTGTTATACATTTATAATAGATACATTTTGAGCCACAACAACATGTGGCAGGGTCTGCTAGTGTCAGATACATCAGATAATATAATTTGAAAGTGTTTATTTTTTCACAATAATTTCATCATTTAAAATGAAAGATATGAATAAAAGAAACTGAATATTTTCAAATTAATTTTTTAGAAAACTGCATTGTGTTTTTTATGTGGGCAATTTGGCCATTATGAAAAGAACTGTTTAACAGGAAGTTGTGAAAAGTGTTTCTCCCTCAAACACAGAACAAAAAATTGTAAAATGGTCAACAGTGAAAAATTTTCGGTGCCATGTGCCTTATGTAATTGTGTTGGTCATGAACAAAGTGTAAGTTATGATTTTATTGATATGTTAATATAGAAATTGAAAAGTAATTAAATATATTTGAATTTTAACTTAAAAAATAATAATTATAAATAGAGTAGAGTCTTGATTATTTGAGGTGATGTAGACCAAGAGTATTTTGGATAATCAAAAACTCTTATAACACAGAATTTTTGGTAAATTATTTAATAAGTCTGACTTAGATTCACTAATGTGTATAATGTATTCTGATTTCAGGTTAGATCTATTTATTGAACTAATGACTTTAAACATTTATTAATGTAAAATTTAAATTTTATTTATTCATGTAAATGGTAAAACTACAATTAAATTAAAGTTTCTGTTGCTGTGAGAAGTTACCAGAATAAATGATTTTTTTAAAACTTTTAGAGCTTTCTTTGAATACATTTCATTGTCTGACCAAGATTCATGAAATAAAACTGTATTATACTGTGTTCTTTTGTCTTTGTTGACAAAGTACTCTTCCACATTTCATTCCATTTAAATGAATCTTAGTTAATTTAGAGTCTACTTTAATCAAATTTATAAATGTAAATCTTTAATCTATTAATAATTTTTTTTTAATTGTCAGGACTGCCCAGATTTTTGGAGAAGATTTCATTTAACAGTGAGTTGATAACAGTGATATTATGTTAGTTAATCCCTATAAGTTTTAAGCCTTGTATAAAACCTATTTGTTAATTAATCTCTTTGAAAGTCTGTTAATTTATTATTATAAACTAGTTAGTGACTAGCTAGTTAATAAATTAGTGATATTTGAAAAATTCTTTTCAAATATCACTATAAAAACTAACAGGCTTAATTTGACTGAAATTTCATATAATTTTATTCCTATTATCTTCTGTTATTACTATTTTATAAAATATATAATTGTAAGAATAATTTTTTTAAAGGATGACTTTTATATTTTTAATTTTGAATATTCAGTATTTTATTATTATTAATAAAGTTTATCACTTCAAACTATATCAAATACAACAAAATAGTTTAATAGAGTAACAAATTATATAGAAATTCAAGTATTTTCAAGTTATTTCACCCATCATTAGGCAAACCATTGTATTGAAACACAGTCCTGTCCTTTAAAGATCTTTCTGACATGTTCTATTTTATCCTCTACCAAGCATATTTTGTCTTTTAATGGAATTTTGTGCAAACAAAGAAGAGGTTTATCTGAGTTCTTGTGATCATAGAATAGCAGAAGACAAAGCTTTGTTTCTTAAAAGACCGTATTACATTGGAAAAGATACATGGGTGATATCTTAGTTATATAAAAAAGAGGAGACATTTTTAGTTGATACATTCTTGGGCTGCCAACTTAGTAGAGATCAACTGAGTCTACTTAGAGTTTGCTTTTTTGGATATATGATGATGAAGCAGCAGAAAGATATGAAATCTCTGTAGAAAAGCCACGTTCCAATTGGTTTACATATCCAGAGCATTAACTGTCCTTTGGACATATAGAGTATTGTGAAGTCACTTGGAGCATATGTATCCATAGGCTATGTAATGTAAAATTAATGCAGTTAATTTTGATAAGAGGTGAAGGGTATTGTACATGACTAAGGAATATTAATACTATATTAGCTCTGTCTGTTCTAGATAAATATTCAGATGTGATATGGAGAGAGATAAAGACTATTGTATAATTAAATGCTGGAGACAATAAGAAAATGGTGGAATCAGTATAGATTTACAAATGAAGTTTAAAAGCTAGTCATTAAATACAATAATGCTGTAACTTAACCACATCTTAGAAATTGCTGCATACAGTGATAACTCATACTTAAATGACTTTTTCACACAATCATTTTATTATGTTTACTTATGCTCCTTGAAATATGTATATTAGCTTCTGTTAAATTGGATTTTATATTCATATGTTTAATATTTTCATAAGGATGAATTAGCCAGTGTGATTACTCCAACTGAAATTAGTCATTTTACCTTTAACAGTGAATAAAGTTTAAATAATGGTAATGTTTTCAAGACCTTCTGGCTAACATGGCTCATTAATTGGGTCAAAAAGTGTTAACATTATTTAAACTTCATCCATTGTAAACATGCATTGCTAATTCAGTTATAATATTTTCTTAACACTTCAATCCTCTGTAAAATTTCTTGTTTACTTTGCTTTTCTGTAATAAGAGAACCTTATGTTTGATACAACAATTTTCAAGACAAATGAAGTAACTGAAAAACATTCAAATTTTTGTGTTCTACATAATTTTGTTACTCCATTAATAAAAATGCCTTAATTTTATGTTATTTTATTTTACTTTTTCAAACTTCATGGAAAAAATAAATAAATATATTCTCATCATCAATTTATATATGAAGTTTTCAAATAAAATACTTTCAGAAACCAAATGAATAACTTTAGTTATGAAGTCTATTAAGAAAATATAAAAATATTTTATTAAAATGAATTTACATTTAATTTCAGACAGACAGTAATAAAATGGTGAAAAGAAATCGAACTGTTAATCAAAGGGTATTTTGTTATAATTGTGGAACCGATGGACATTTTGGATTTGTAAGTTAAAAAATTTTAATTAAAAGTTAAATGAAATCAGTAATAAATTTTATTGTATGAGATGATTTAGTAAAACCTTTTTGATAAACATAATAATATCCAGTTTCCATTATAATATATATCTAATTCAGGCAGTATTCTACAAAATCAAATTAAGAACAATTGATTTCTGTCTTTTCTGAAACTGTAGGAATATATTATGATGATTATTTTTAACAGCAAATTTCTGAATACTGTTAAAAACATTACTAAAAACAGATAGAAATTGAAATTTTGTGTATGTGTGTATATTAAAAATATAGATAAATAATTTTGATGTTCTTTGATATTAAAACCATTATAAATTCCTTAATATCATAGGAAAGGCTGATACTCACATTAGGAGGGAACAATATAAACTGTCTTATGATGAATGTAAACTAGTGAGTTACAAAATTTTGTTATATAAGTCTGTATAATGTTGTGGAAGGTTGTTTCAGGATATTTAATCAGAAGTTTTTAATTGTTAATAGTTAAGTGCTAATGTAAAAATAACTTGTTTTACATTAATTCTTTTAACACAAGTGTGACTATAAATAGCTGATAATATCATAGAATTATCTCTTGAAGTCACTTCATGTATAATTTTTCTTTATCATTCTAAGTTCATATTAATTTTCAGTTTCAGTTACAGGTTTTGACAACTCCATTATCTTAAATATAATGAGAAAATAAACTGAACACTATTCATAATGTTTTTCATTTTGTAGCTATGCTGTTTATTAGGGAGTGCAGATTTACTCAAATAACAGTTGTGACTATTATTAAATATTATATTATATTAGCCAAATTATTGTGACTATTGTTTCTATTTTTTAGGAGTAGGGTGCAAACTATTAATTGAATAAATCTAGTAATTTTCTTTCATTTCATTATTATTCACAAACACTAATGCAACACCCAAAACATTCACAACTTTCATTATTTCATCATACAGTGAGAAATAAATTTTGGTAGCAGTGATGATACTGAATAGAACATGAAGATTTTCGGTGTACAAAAAATTGTATTTTCCTCCATTAGACAACAAACTTACTATTAGAGGACATTATTAATAACAGTTTTCATCTTGCAGCTGCAGTTTATTAGAGGGCATTTACTATTTACTATACGGTAATTTTCTTTAATAACATCCGGTCTGATAGAAATTGAGTTTAAATGTCAAAAATATATAAAATTCTAAAATATAATCTTTTTGATTAATTACATGAAATTATTGCATTTAATTCAAAAATTTTTTAATCCATAGAATTAATTTAATAATTTAGTAATAAATGGGATCTTTACAGAAATGTGATAGTCCTAGAATGAACGAAAATACCTTTCCTACAACACCAATGATTGTAGACTATAGTCCACTCTATGAAATGGAAATTGTTGATAATACAGGTAAATTAAATTTTAATATGAATGTTCTTTGTTTATAATTAATATGAATAATTTTTCAATGTAAATTTATTATATAATAATTTACTGGTTGTCACTTGAAAACAGTAAGAAAATCCTATAAAATTTATCTAAGTGTGTTATACTTTTATAGATTAATTATAGGAAGAATCAGTTTTTAGCTAGATAAAAATAATGTAAAATTCCAAAAAAAAAAAACACTTTCACCTAAATAAAAGTTTCAAACAGAATTATTTTCTCCCATTGCAGTTTAAAATACAGATCTAATCAAAATCTTAAAGTGTCTTTCCTGTCATCAGGTTCTTTTGGTTGCTGTAGCAGTTTAATATATGACAACTAAAAGAACAAATTAAGATTTCCAATTAAATAATTCCATATAAATTAGTTTCATAGTTTCAATTAAAAAAGTTTACTTTAAATATACAAATTTATCAAACTTATTGTTTGAATTCTAATATCATTTTTGAGGTTATATTAATCTTTAATTCTTGATAAGTAACGCTTATTCACAGTTCTTACTCGATCATAGCAAAAACAATGGCATTTTTAGATTGTGCTTCAGTAAAGCATGAAATTATGTAAATGCTATTTTTTTTTGTTAAAATAAAATATTTCAGAGTGTTAAACACAAGATCGTGTTATTAATCAATCATGTGGCTTCTTTTCTATCTTTAATTGATACGGTATTTCTACACGTTTCAGGCTTTTGGTTCCTCATCAGTCAACTAAAACAAGAAATAATGTATACAGCATTTAAATATTATATTTTACAAGTAAATTGCACAAACAATATAAAATACATGTATATAACTTACATGTACCATTAACCACGATATGGCACTTGTACACTATAAGTTTGCACATCACAAACCTGAAGAATGTTTTAATCTTGTGTTTAACACACTCAAAAATTTAGTACAACACAGTTTCAAAAACAACAAATAAAATAAAATACTTAAAATAACTGACAACAAATATACATTTGCTTCCAGAAATTAGTGTTAGTTCCTGTATTAAACTAGCAATTGTATATTCTGAAAAAAGTAATTGCAAATCATGTCTTTACTTGTAGAATATGTAAAGTTGTAGGAGTCAGATACTTTAAAGTGTAAAGTGATAGTCACAGTTTTTTAGAAAATACTGTCCATTTCTAATGAAAGAGTACTATACAAATGTATTTGTTGCATTATCATTTAAAAACACATCCTTAATGATTTCATTAACTGTTTATTAGTGAGATAGTTGGAGTTAGTAATACAGTGGAACCCCGGTTAACGAATGTAATCCATTCCAAGAGTCCGTTCGTTAACCGAAGCAACTTTTCCCATAGAAATTAGTGCAAATACAATTAATCTGTTCTAGCCATCAGTATTTTTGTAATTTTATTTGTAAAATGGATTTTCTTTGATGAAAATATAAGAAAACGTAGTATCTATCATTACAGCAACAAATATGTAAACTTTATTTAATAAAGTAGCACTGTACATACCTTTGTTTATACGGAGCTTAATGCTTGGAAGAGGAATCCCCCTCCATAAAAATATTGGGTAGCACTGCATCGGGAGTTTCTTCGAGTCGAAGTCTCTTTTGATAAGGAACAAGAAAGTGGTCTAAATTGATTGTCTTACTCTCTTAATCAAAATTTTTCTAAAATGCACTATCACAGTGTCATTCATTAATTTAATGACCCTAGTAACCACAACTTTGTTAGGATGGTGCTTCTCGATAAATTCCTGCACATCATTCCATTTTCTGCAAATTTCCTTGATCTCAGCACTGGTGATTTCTTCCCTAGCCTCTTCCTCTGATGAATGCTCGTCTTGTAAGACTTTCATCTGTTCTTCCTGCATGGCAACCAGCTCTTCTGTTGTTAGTTCATTTTGATGGTCTTTCAGCAACTCCACATCTGCGTCATCTACCGCTACTCTCAAACTCTTGCCAATGGACACGATTTCATGCACTACATCATGAGAGCTCTCTTCTTCAAATTCCTGAAAGTTTCACTCTGGGACACAAGTTGGCCAAAGTTTCCTCCAGGCCGATTGCAAAGTGCAGTGAGAGACCTCACTCCAGGCTTTGTCAATAAGGTTGATACAATGCAAGATGTTAAAATGCTCCTTCCAAAAAGCTCTAAGAGTTAAGTTGGTATCATTGGTAACTTGAAAACACATGGTAAACAGTGCCTTGGTATACAGCTTTTTAAAATTGGAAACCACTTGCTGATCCATTGGTTGCAGTAATGGAGTTGTGTTGGGTGGAAGGAATTTGACCTTGATGAAGTCATGTTCACTATCCAAGTCCTCCAAATTTGGTGGATGTGCTGGAGCATTATACATTAAGAGAAGACATCTAAGAGGAAGATCCATTTCCTGAAGATAATTTTTAACAATAGAAGCAAACACTTCTGTGAGCCAATCCATGAATAAAGTCCGAGTTACCCATGCCTTACTATTTGCCTTCCATTGTACAAGCAGTTTGGACTTTATCACATTTTTGCTCTTAAAGGCACAGGGATTTTCAACATTGTAGACTAAAAGTGGCTTGATTTTGAGGTTACCACTTGCATTAGCGCAAAATAAAAGAGTGAGTCTGTCCTTCATGGGCTTGTGTCCGGGAAGTGCTTTCTCTTCTTGGGTTATGTACGTTCGTCTAGGCCAGTGATTCTCAACCTTTTTTTCATCACGGTACAATTTTAATAATTTGGTGGCACACACGCTTACTTCGGTAAGTACCGTAGGACAACCGGTGACGTCTTAATAGTGATTTTTAAACGCAGTTGGTTATTTAGATCACATTTTCTAAATGTCTTAGTAACTATCGGCAGTTTCCGGTAACACTGGTTACAATTTCCAAATGCACCCTAGGAAGATAGAACCGATTAAAATATTTGTCTCACGTCGCTTATGTATGGGACATTCGCAGTGACGGCACACTTCAAAAGTCTCGCGGCACACTAAAATGCCACGGCACAGTGGTTGAGAATCACTGGTCTAGGCATTCTTTTCCAATATAGACCAGTCTCATCGCAATTAAACACTTGATTCCAGATGTATCCTTCACTTTTTACAAACTCTGTGAATTCATCTACAAATACTTTTGCTGCTTTTTCATCTGAACTTGAAGCCTCCCCATGTCTTATGACACTGTGAATGCCAGTTCGTCGACGAAACCTATCAAACCACCCTCGGCTCGCTTTAAAGTCCTGCCTGTCTGCACTTGTANGGAAGTGCTTTCTCTTCTTGGGTTATGTACGTTCGTCTAGGCCAGTGATTCTCAACCTTTTTTTCATCACGGTACAATTTTAATAATTTGGTGGCACACACGCTTACTTCGGTAAGTACCGTAGGACAACCGGTGACGTCTTAATAGTGATTTTTAAACGCAGTTGGTTATTTAGATCACATTTTCTAAATGTCTTAGTAACTATCGGCAGTTTCCGGTAACACTGGTTACAATTTCCAAATGCACCCTAGGAAGATAGAACCGATTAAAATATTTGTCTCACGTCGCTTATGTATGGGACATTCGCAGTGACGGCACACTTCAAAAGTCTCGCGGCACACTAAAATGCCACGGCACAGTGGTTGAGAATCACTGGTCTAGGCATTCTTTTCCAATATAGACCAGTCTCATCGCAATTAAACACTTGATTCCAGATGTATCCTTCACTTTTTACAAACTCTGTGAATTCATCTACAAATACTTTTGCTGCTTTTTCATCTGAACTTGAAGCCTCCCCATGTCTTATGACACTGTGAATGCCAGTTCGTCGACGAAACCTATCAAACCACCCTCGGCTCGCTTTAAAGTCCTGCCTGTCTGCACTTGTATTGGATGTCTGGGTCAACAAGTCATTGTATAAATTTTTAGCCTTTTCACAAATTATAGCTTCACTAACACCGACTCCAGAAAGTTGCTTTTCATTGATTCATATTAGCAACAGTTTTTCAACTTCATCTAAAACTTTAGATCTTTGTTTTGATATCACATTCACTCCTTTAGCCACTTCGGCAGCCTTAAATGCTTTTTTGTTTTTAATAATTGTAGAGATAGTCGATTTTGCCACATTATATTCTTCAGCAATGTCAGAAACACGAATGCCATTCTCGTATTTTGCAATAATTTCTTTCTTTAATGCTATACTAAAACGTTTTCTATTTCCACTGTCACTTTTCTCTTTCTTTGGTGCCATATTGATTAAATATACAATATAAATAACAAAACTAAAAAACGAAGTTTAGCACACTCGAAAAACCAATGCTTACCTCAAGCACACCTAAGAGCAACTGAAATTTGTGAGGTTCCAGAACAGCAGGAAACTATTAGGTTGATGCAAAGTTTGTCCACTGAAGCGTTATTTCCTTCACATGTGTCAAATTTTGATGCTGTTTGACAAAAGGGATCTCAGCTGGTATTTGAGAATAAAGTTGTGTTACTTAGTTGTGTTTTTAAAATTTTGTTAAGCATTACAAATGGCAGAAAATAAGGAGCATTTTCGATATATTATGCTTTTTTATTTCCGAAAATGCAAGAATGCTTCGCAGACACAAAAAAAGATATGTTCTGTATATGGTGAGGGAGCCATTGATGATTCCACGTGCCATAAGTGGTTCAGAAAGTTTTATGAAAGCAAGCTTACAAATTTGGCACAAAAAGCCGTTAAGTTCGTTATCCGAGACAAAATTTTTGCAAAATAAAAGTTCATTAACTGATTTGGTCGTTAACCAGGATGTTCATTAACCGGGGTTCCGCTGTACAGTGCTAGACAAAAATATAAGTTCAAGTAATAATTCTAGATTGTAAATTGTTTAAATGAAATGATAACATGCAAAAGTAATCAATTATATCTATTATTTTAATATGTTAAATAGTTTTATAATCACAAATTATTTGAAAATAAACATTAAAAAAATTTAAAATATTAGAGAGAAAATTATAAGTTCCAAAAGGAATTAACATCTTAATTTAAGGAATTAATACTT